ACATAAAGAGATTCTTTTTTTTGTTAAATAGAAAATATTAAACTTCAAACATTACTGTTCGATTCACAAGATTTTACATAACACAAACGAAATAAGACAAACAACTTACCATTCATCGTCGTTGTATTCACTATATAATAAAAAGACCAGTAACAAAATGATTATAATATAAAATAAAAATAAAAAAAAACTTAATCTAAAATGTAAAATCGAAGCTCTCTTCACCTCATTGAAAATTCTTTTGAAGAAAACTCATTTATTTTTTTTAAAAGAGATTTTTTTATTAAAAAACAATCTAGAAGTATCTACCTTGTCTAGTATATTTAGAAAAATTGCTATTTGAATAAAGATTAAATCCAAAAAAAAAATTTTCTTTTAATTAATAACTCAATACATATGCATATTTGGTTCTAAAGAAATTTAAACTTAGAAAACAATTGCATCTACTTGTCTATGTATATTATATAGTTTTGTTATTATAAGAAAAAAAAATGAAAGTGAATGAATTTGCGCAAAATGAAAAACAAAAATATTACAAAAAGAAAAAAGACTTTGATTATTTATTTCTAAAAGAATTGAATTAAAAAATCATTTGTAACATAAAAGAATAGCATCAAAGAGATATATATTTAGCCTTATAATTTATTCCTATAAAAAAGAAAATGATTCAGTAAAATATTTATCACTCAATACCTAGAAATAAAAAATAACAAATAAAATAAAAAGATAATGAACAATGATAAGTTCTTAACGACCTTTTTGAATCAACTCTTTGACATTAAGTATTTTATGGATCACATAAAATCCTATTTTATTAAATAATGAATCTTTATATTCAAATAAAAATTTCAAATGTATGCTGTTGTAAACAATGATAATATTTTTAAAATAATAATTCTATTATGATAGAAGCTCATTTGAGTTGCTAACAAGTAAACCAGAATAAGTGGTCGCATTTTATATTTTATTTTTTCCATCATCTAATACGTTTTATCAATAAAATACAATACTCAGCCATTTATTCTAGCCCATTCATTATTATGATAAACATTTATTTATGTGTCTGTTAAGTTAATAAAATTTATATCGTTTTGATTCTGAATTGTGAATGCAATAAGAAAAAAAAACTGATAAAATGATATTAATGTTTAATAAACTCTTATTCATCTGCTATGTCTTATAAATATTCATATGTACAGGTTTTTTAGTTGATAAATGTTGTTTAGCTATTTGATAGAGAGAGTTAGAACTAAATAATGAGACACAACAAACTAATCTATTTAATTTTTTCTGCTTTGCACACTTCAACGCCTGATAGACTTGTATTTTCTGAGAAAATGATTCTAGCAATTATTAGGAAGTTCTACTTTTTAACCTTTATATTCTTATTTTCTTTTGATATATCGTAATGGTAAAATAGTGAACTTCCTGTCCTTAATAATCATACTTTGTCTCATCTACAAGTTCTCAAAATTCCTATAATGATTAGTTTATGTCACTTTCTAATTAGAGTAGCATCATACACTTTCTGTTAAGAGACACTTCGTAGCTCAATTGGGAAATAGCGTCACATGAAAAATTTTGACATAGCTTTTTGATCATTGGAAATGTAAAAGCATATAAAAACAAAACTATAAATCCTAAGTTCTAGTTTTCTCTACGAAGAAAGCTAGAATTTTGGATTTATAGGAGTTATGATTGTTTTACTGAATTTTCGAACGTGTTCTCAGTTATTCTTTTGCTAAAAGCAAACCAGATTTCGCAAATATATATGTAAAACATATCGTATCATATAGTACAATAACTTTGAACAGTCTACCAGCGACAAAATTAATGCGACATCTATTTTTCAAGTTAGGAATAGCCAGAAGATTTTGAACGTATTACCATCATTTTTTGAGGATATCTAAAATTTCTTTTTTACCAAAATAATTAGCTTTACTAGCTCTACAAAGTTCTATAAATGAAATCATTTTTTGATGAACTTTTGTCTTTTATGGTTTACTATCATTGAAAATATCCATGAAAAATAAGTGTAGCATTAATTTTGTCGTTGGTAGAGTAAATTCAATTTAGCTTGTACAAGTGTAACGCGATGACGCTTTGGCCACAGTTTTATTAACTTTTCTCAGGAATCAAATTGCCCAGAAGGTTTGTTCTTTCGTTATAAGATGTATCACTGCCCTCTGCAAAATCTCTGAAAATATCAGTTCGTTTGAGCGAGCCGTTTGAAAATCATAGGAAAAATAGATAGCGTAACGTGATGATGAAAAAAAGGATAAAAAGTTGAGGGTCACGTAATTGTTCTTTATTTCTCTGCTAATGTATGCTATATTCAAAGAAACAATCTATAGACGTTTTGTAGGCAACAGTTTGAGGTATCCAACGGAGAAAGAAAATTCTTTGAACAGGTTTCTTATTGTGAATAGAAATCGGTTTGATTAACGTAACGTGATGACGATGACTTTTGTAATCATTTTTTTTCTATGCTTCATTTTGTTATATGTACACCTCTGTTAAGACAAGATATTATTTTTATTCTACCGCTTAGAGTATGCAAATGTTAACTGGAAATTTGAATTTTTTCGACCTTACGTATATATCATAGAAACGATAGGGGATTTAGATTGGTAATTTAATTTCAATTGAACAGAATCAATTTGTTAGACCAATTACCTATATTCTTATGGCAATTTGTTAGTAATCAATATAAAAAGACACATTATTCACAGCTTACAGTGATTTTTGAATAATAAATTGCTGTCTGAAAACATTTTTTGGCATATATGAAAAAACATAGAAAACAGTAAAAAAGCATCCTCGCGTTACGTAACATGATTTTAAAACATGATCTTTTTCGGATAAAAATACGCACATCAGATAGCTCATGAAAAACTAGCTTTAGATATATATATATATACTTTTTGTAAAAGAAAAAGTCGAGATCAAGAGGTGAAAAAAAACAATACTCATTTTTCGTTACGCGATGATGTTATAAATAGGGTAGTTTTACTTAAGCTCGCTGCAAAAATGTATAGCACATAGGAAACCCACTGTTATGAGGAAATGTACATCTGTTATCATAGTGTTAATTGGTCTTAATCAACTTTGTATATACTAGACTGTTAAGATATACGGGTTAGGTGAACTCATGCTCTAAATAGAGGAACTTTTTTTTTGTTCATTAGTGGTTTCTTATTTACCAATTATCAAATGCAATTTAAAGCACTTATTCATGGAACGAAATATGCTTCTCTCCATTTTAGACCATGCTTTACAACATGGCAATAACGATTTCTTAAGATACTGATTTCGAACTTCCGGTCATTGAGGTGACCGTTATGCGTACAAGCTGAATTGTGATCAGAATTGTTTTTGTTCTCTACTATATGTTGATATTTCGATTATAGAGAAAGAAGGTTATAATTTTATAATCTTGATCGGTCATAATATACATCAGCGCCATAGATATTACTAATTTCTTTTCTTGATTAATGAATGAAAATGATTTTTAAGAGGGTCTGCTACTATAAAACACAGAAAAAAAACTTGTTGTGTTTCCTCAAAAGTGATTGTTGTGACAGCGATTAATCTCCATATTAATTCATTTTCAATATACTTCTGTTCTAGAAAACTAATGTTTTTTTAATTATTGCGCACTTAATACTCTTCAGATGAGGGAAACAGATTTTATTTATTTAATTTAGACTCTAATTCCGTAGAAAACATTGTCTTTCTAGGTCATCTCTTTTGGCATTCAAAGGTTATAGAAATTTCGACACTTATTGAAAATAACCACAAAAAAGTTCCCTTTTTCTTATTCGATATGATAAACATTTCTCCTTCAAACAAAACAATATCCAATTCTGTACATTGAAGTATAGTGAAAATGTTGTTAGCGCAATCTCTCTGGAATTAAAATATGAAACACGACATAGCTGTTATTCTCACTCTCAGAGAGAATTGTCAAGGTGTCTGTTACGGTCTGTGAACGTTAATTTACTTTCATGAGTTCAATATCTGTAGAAAATTTCGTAAAAATCTTATGTACTATATTCTAAAAGGAGTGTTGATGTATATAGGCTAGAAACTTACACCCTCACAGACATTGTTGACGTACGATCAAAGACCGTTTATCAACAACGTCTCGTTCCAATACATGAAGTACTTCCTTGTTGTATTTCTGAAGGATTAAGTAAAAGAATAGTGTCCCAAAATAGATAGAATAAAACAAACTCCTTGTGATTAGCAACAGCTGCTACATTGTATTTCACATTTTGATCTCCCAAGGGTTGCGATAAAAGCTTTTTAGGCAGGGCTTCCTTTAAGAATATAATTCTAGTATCAAACATAGCAAATAGAATATTTTCATATCTGGAAATTTTATTAGAATTAAGGAATAAAAATTCTTCCATAGATTGTCAATTTCTATAAAGAAAAAATAATGATTTAACTACAATTTTTTTTACAATCATATTCGTTATTGGGAAATCGAATACACAATATACTACTGTGTTTATTAAAATATATGAAACAGAAAAGAACTATCGTATCTTCGATGATAGTTACCTACCGTTTATAAATTCACACGGCATCATGTCTATTCTCATTTAAGTAAATGCAAATTTGTATCAAAGAGTGTTCTTCTTATCATCACTAATTGCTTGCTTTTTATGTTTTCAAATACATTTAATGACAGAGTTCTGTAGGGTGTCTGTTTCTATTAGTTTTCTCTTTGTATACACAAAAGTATTTATCTCTTGATGATCACTTTTATGAAACATCTTTTCATTTCTGCTTTTTTATTTTGATGACTTTCAAGTGCACCGTATGACAAATATAAAATATGTGCGTATACATAAGAAACAAAAAAGATTGAAATAAAAAGGTTAGTAACTAAATCTACAAGAAAGAGAATTAGTAAGGATGAGATTCGTATTTTCTTTCTTTTGCATTGTTACACAAAAACAAATCATAAATAATAAAAAAACACTATGCTTTTAATCTCGTTTTTTTCCTTCAGCTCCCTTCACTTGTCCATCAATATTATTTGTTTCTTTTTTCGAACCCATCAATGTTGTCGTTGCAGTAAGTGGCGTAAGAGCAGCCGGCATTAATGTTGGTTGTTGTGGTGTTGATATATTTGTTGTCGATGACGAAGCAGCAGTTGCGCGTCGATATGCATCAGACTAAATATTTAAAAAAAAATTAGAAATTCAATAATATAAAAATAACAAATCAATTAATAATAATTACAATTGTTTCTGCCCAACTATTAAATAATAAACCAGATGAAAGATTTTCAAATGGCATTAAAGGATCATATTGTTTAAAAAATATTGTAATAATGCGTACATATATAAACATTGAAGCAATACATAAATAAATTAATTCACGTTCAAATTTAAGTAAACGTATGTGTTCAAGTAAAAAGATTGTTGCAGAAATAAAACAAGCTTTTGTTGCACTAAAATAAAATAAATATTTGAAAACTTGAAAACAATTATTCAAGTCTAGAAGTTAACATTTCATCGTTTTATTATTAAATATTTTGAAAGAAAATTTCCTATTCGATTATTTAGCTTTTGAAAAGAGTTTATACTAAATTGATTGATAATTGTTTTAATTTTTGATTGTTTCATTGGCTCGTTGATTGTTATCTATCTAGCTGTCTTGTCAGATCAATTGATAGTATTAGTGTAAACAATGAGTACTCATGATAGTAACAGAAGGGTGTAAAGAAATCACAAAGTTATATTTAGACTAAACTTAAATGAAATTATTAAGAATACGTGATCGTATCATGATTAATCTATATAAACTAAAGGATTATGAAAATAAAAGAAAAAAGTAATATACTGATTTCTATGTAGATAATATATGAAGCACAAAAGTTTCCTAGATTATTTAGTAACCTCGATTACAATTTGAATTCAATTAGAATTTTAACAATATAAAAGTGCTTTTTTTTGTTAATTGTGAAAAGATATATCTTTGCAGAGTTGTATGACGCACTCTATTACCCTTTTGGTGGTAAATATGGCGTTATGTATATTGACCTTTTCAATAGTAACAGCTTTTCTATTTTAATATAATCAAAACTACTCATGATCCTATTAATCAATATAATATTTTTAATTTTAAAATTTCCTAATAATCTTATTTTTATCTATTTAATTTTTCTTTCTCAATAGATAACTATAGCACAATAAAAATGAAAGCTGATTTAAGCGAACATTTTTGTTTTTCTTACAAAGTTGGGAAAAGAAATTCATGTTGTGAAGGTAACCAAATACCTCGAATAAAACGATCAATTGTTGCCATTATTGATCCGCCACAACCTAAAAAAACGAAAAGATAAAATGATTAAATTAATCTAATTTCAATATATAGAATTGCTTCTTTTTTTTTGACCTTTTATAGCTCCAATAATAACAACAATAATATAACCATCAGGATAAATAGCTAATGTTGAATGAACTCCATCAAAAATTTTTTTTGTTCGCTGAATTTCTTTTCCAACACCCATACATATTCGAATAGGTATAAATCGTAATAAACGTGTTATTACATCAAATGGTGAATAAAATACAAGATACCAACATAATGTTGCAAGTAAAAGATGTTGATGCTGAACAAAATCTTTTATTGGACTTTCACCAAGTAAAAAATTTGATAAAAGTGAACCAGAAAAACAAAGGAACATTGTTGATAACCAACATGATAAAGGATGACGACGTGTAAAATTTTGTGTTGCTAAAAAACAAAACTAAATATACTCAAAAAGAAAAAATAGATATTAAATGTTTTTTAGTAAGACATTTCGAGATGTTGACAAGACAAAAGTTTTATTCGTTTTAAATTTGATATTTTTTTAAGATTATTTAAAATGATCTATAAAAGAATTTTACCTGTTTGCTGTTGTTGTATGTCATCCCGAACTTGTAATGCTGTAAACAAATAATGGCATGTATCAAGCACTGGATACATACGTATACGTGCCAACTGCGAACCGAGATCAATTAGTAGTTCTTTATTCATTTTAATATACTTTTAGATATATATATTTTTTTTTCTTTTGTTTGTTATACACGTCACCGGCTCATTCAGTTACAAAGAAAAGAAAAACTTAAAATTATATCTGAAAATAAAATAAACGATTAGATAGATGATGAAATTAAACTATCAAATGATTTCTTAATTTAGATATGAAAGACATTTTTTAAAAAGATATCACATTAAAATATAAAATCAATTGGATTTCTTTGCTTTTGTTTTTGTTGATCAGAGTAGTTCAGAAAAGATTTTCTTATATTTGAAAATTAAGATTAATGAAGATGATTCTTTTTCTTAATATGATGATCATAGAAAAAATATCGCATTATGATAGACATTAAATAAAGCTACTTATGCCTTTATAAATAAATAGAATAATTAATATTGAAATTTCTTCAAATCATTGTTGATAATAAAAATTATGAAATATAATCGATATATTTGAGAAAATAATCTTGATTCAATTGTGTTTTGATACAAATAACTTATAATAGTCGTTGTTTTCTCATTTGAAAAATCGAAAACAAATTGTTAAATATATATTTCTGTTGGCAATTGAAATCTCATGCATTAATAAAGGTTATTCATGCATTTATCAAATGTGAACAAAATAATTTGTCATATTCTCTTCTGGTTGTAATATAACAACAAACGACGTATCTATTGGTTATCATCGCCGTATTTACTGATGTGTGTTAGTAGCTGTTATTATTATTTTTCTTCTACTTGGGGTACAGTGATGATTGGTGTAACATGTAGAAAGAAAAAAACACAAGTAGAAAGCAGAGAAACGAAGGAAAGAAAAGCGTTTTTTTTTCCTATGTTGATAGCATCGTTGTTGATGACAAAAAAGAAAAACCGCAGACAACAACAAGATCATATATATACTGCAAGAATTGTTTGTAGCTTCAATAAATGTTAAGACGAAAGATGGGGTAACAAGAAACACAAATGCACAATCAATGAATATACATATATATCGAGCCTTAAGCCATTATAATAGAAAAAGAAAAAGAAAAAAAGAAAAAGAAAAAAAAAAGACAAAGAAGCATCTCATATTACTCAATAATTGTCAATGAAGCAAAAAGACGAATATCTTGAGTTATTATATTTTAAAGAAGATATTTTTTATTCATAAATGAATTAATACTTGGAAGAGTATTTGTTTCAATAAGATCATCATTATCATAATGAAACATATTTGTTGATGATAATAAATCTTCTTGTTTAAATAATGAATTTGTCAAATTTATAGAATTACTTATTGATGGAAGTACACTACGCATTTGATATGTTAATATATCAACATTTATATCTTGTAAATCTTGTGGATGACATTTTATTATTGATTGTTGATCAGACTTAAATAAAAATAAAAAACAAAAATTCTTTGTTTTTGAGAAAAAAAAACAAATACATTTCTAATTGATGTTGTTTGTTCAATTAATGAATTTGATTCAGATGGTTGAATCAATATTTCATCATTTTTATGTTGTTGAAGTTTTTTTGGTGGTCTACCAACAGGTCGTTTTGGACCATTATTAATTATTGTTTGATTACGACGTCGTGTTGTTTTATTTATTAATGAACTATTTGAATTATCATCATTTGATGACCACGTTTGATGAGAATTATATGTTAAAAGATTTGAAGAATCTAATAAAAAAAAAAACATTTCGAATGACAATATAAGATTAATGATATTACTAAATGTAGTTGATGAATCATGTGGAGTAAATTGAAGATAAGTAGGATTAGATGTTTGTGACATAGGATTTATTGATGATGTGTTACCAACTCAAAAAAAAACATAGACAGTAAGTAATTAGTATTAATAATAATAAGGAAATTTTACATCCAATTGATGGAACAAGAATACTTCTATATTGATTATCAATATCATTATATTTGGAATATTTTCTTTTTTCTAAATGTAAACAAATTTTTTTTTCATCATTGTTTTATGTAGAATTTTATTCACTTGATTCAGGAATATAGGATGCTGAATTTTGTGTTGTTAGTGAATTTTCGCTACTAGTTGGATGTTGAATATCATCATCTGGGATGGAATTTACTGAAAAAATAAATCAATAATTTAGATTTTCTAATACTTCTACATGAGAATGCTGTAGATTTTTTCTATTTACACCACGACCTCTAATCAATCTTGATCGACATATGTTCACATTATTAATCAAAATATTAATTTAAATCAAACAACAAAACTTATCTGTAGTACGCAGATGTATTTTCTATCTTAACTTAGAAAGAATTTCAAATCGTTACCATAACCTCTACCAGGCTCAAAAATTCTCGGACTTCGATTCAGTTAACAGAAAACTTTCAGACCCGAATCTGGCTGGATTCGGAACCAACTCGACAGACTCTAACCTTTACCCTTATCATGTACATTTCTATCTGAGACTGAATTACAAAATGAGTGTGTCAAAAAAACGAATAAGCCTAATTAAAAATTTCAAAAGATAACACTTCTAAGAATTTCATGATTATATTTCTTCTAGAATAAGATTTATTTGAAATGTTGTTTAATACGATTCTTTATTAATAATTACAAATTATTAAAATTTGATTTTGAATTTTTTTCATAAATATTTATTTAACCTTACCTCCTCCAATATTATTTGAATAAACTCCAGTAACAGTAACACCTGAACTACTTCGACCATTCATATCTAATGCACTTTTAAGACCAAGTAAACCATTTCTTGGATCAAATCTTGGTATAGTACAATTAAGAAAAAGATTTCGTTTAAAATGATCAAATAATGAATGTTTTGAATTTGATTTTGTATTTTCAGAATTAATAAAATCAACAACATCTAAATATTTAAAAAATAGAAGAATCATTTCATATATATAAATAAAATGATTCTACTTTCTGCGTGATGAATAATTTCAGTTCGAGGTCCAATATATTGAAAAGCAGGTCGAGGTCCACGATAACTTGGATCTGTTACTTTTGTTATTAAATTAATTGTTGATAAAACATTTGCAATATCATATAATCGTCGAACTTTTGCTATTAACAAAATCAAAACAATTATAATCAAATAAAAAAGAAAATAACAAAAATTCTAATAGCCAACAAATATGCAAAAATAAACTTTATTTTAAAAACAATAATGTTTACTCTTATAACGACCAAATTCAGTTATTTCATTTTTTGAATCACCCAATAAGACTTTAGCAGCAAAGATAATATTAACAATTCGATCCTTTTTTTTTTTAATTATTATTTTTATATTAATTTATATAAATAATTCAAAAATGAGAAAAAGAAAAACTAAAATTGAATGATTAACTTACATCAGATGTAAGAAAAAGCATAAGAAATTTTTGTGCCATTATACCCAATGCTTTTTCTTCACGAGCAACTAGTAAAAAGAAAAACAAAAAAAACAGAACGAATAAATTTTTTTTTTCTTTTTCTGTTTTTTTCCTACCTTCATCATTTTCTGATGATGAAACATTTTTACCAGCCGATACGATTTGTATACATTTCAGTGCTTCATTTTGTGTTCCTTGACCAGTATTTAATTGACCGGATAGAACCATTTGATCAATTTGTTCACGAATTGAACGAGCAAATTCAACAAAACCAGATTTATATGCTAACGTCTATTAAATTAAAATATTTAATTTCTTTCGAAATTACGGCAACATTTTTTTTTTCAGTGTGTTTTTTGATATATTCGGATCAGAGATGGAATCAGTTCAGATTTTTCAAAATTTAAACTGAACCGAACCGATAATCGAACAACGTTTTTGTAGTAAAACTAAGGAAATCTAGATTTAAAAAATCAGAAAAGCCTGAAGTCTCGATACCATTAATATCTATCGGACATTTTTTCTTGATTTCACTGATCTTATGGTTAGAAAAAAAATCATCTATGATTTTTAAGAAATATTGTTTCATTATTGAGACAATCAATTTTTTTTACTATGACAGCAAACCATCATAAATATAGATTTGTGTTCAGAGTGTTTGATCATCAGAACTTCATTTCCAAGTGAAACAAACATTATATTGAGAACAATCAGAAATAAAATATTTGTTCATTTTTAACCTGCTAGAAAATGTTTTCGAGCTCAAAAAATTAATTTAAATAGAAAATTTTTATATTTTTAGTATTGCGATTCGAAACTTAAAGCTGGGACCTTTGTTTATATGTCAGCTTGTACATCAGAAGCTATACTACAAAATGCACTATTTGAAGTTTTTTTTTGTCTTTCGACAAAGCATGTCAAGTTACATTTTTCCTAAATATTAATTTTTTGAAAAAACAAGAACCGTTTTACATTGAAAGAAACTCTTGAAAAAAATACTTCGGTAAAGGCTATAGCTTAGTTCAATATTTCATGTTGTAGAGAAGTGTCTACTATATAAAACAATTGACTCCAATAATTCTCAGCATATTCGAAAAAGAGATTTATGGGGTAAACAAAAATCTATTGACTCACTATTAAAAATAATTGTTCAGATTGTTCTAAAAGTCTTTCACTACTCTTGAAACAAAAATAAACAAAACATTTTTAAACTCATATTCGGAAAGATCATTCTAACTCATAGCTTTTGCCTCATCGAAAATACTTTGAAGCAAGCCAAACTGAGTAAACATCTTTCCTAAAAATTTTTCGATCACTCCTTATACTCAATACTTAAAATATGTTTTCGTCGAATTTCAGTCCTTACATCTCCTTACTGCTATTTTTGAATAATCTAACCTATGGGTGGTCTCCTAAGGTCGAAATTTAAAGATAAGTTGTTTTAAGTATTGAATATCCTATTCGATGTAGATTTTTTTGCTGACTCTAAAAATTTCGAAATATTACTATTCAATTAATATTATCGATAAACATTGCTAACCTTAAGTTTTGATAATGTATGACCTAAATTTCCCAATCCATGCCATTGATATTGATTTTTAGCAATTCGACTCATTGTTTCAACTGATTCAAGAACA